AGGGGAAGGGGACGAGGAAGAGGAAGGAGGATATAAACAAGCAGCAGCAGGAGGAGTTATCCACATTTTCCAAGCTTTGCTCCTGTGACTCACTCAGTCCCTTGACCAGCAAACTTTCAACAGGGACAAGAGAAGCTTTCAGGACCATATTCCAAAGTTCACCCCTGTTCCCTCCCCTGCATTCCACCCAGTTTCCTCTCTCGGCCTCTGAGTGCACCTGAGGCAATGCAAGAGCATGAGAGAAAGGTGTGTGGGGCCACGGGGCATGGATAGAAAAGGACTCACCTCCTCCGCTCTACGGCCGTCCCAGGAGTCTTCCCCAACCTGGTGCCCCTAATCTGCGGCAGTGTGGCAAGTCTAGAGCCCCCTCCCAACAAAACCCCCAACCAAGGTGGAATCGGGGACCGCAGCCCATTTAAATCTTCTGCACGGTTGATTCCTCCCTCTGTGGTTTCCTTAGTTCCACCGTTCCCTTCTCACCTGCCAGGATTAGACCCATCCAGCCCATGATGGAACAGTTTAGAAGTGCTGGGGAGAGAGAGAGAGAGAGAGAGAGAGAGAGAGAGAGAGAGAGAGAGAGACGGTCCCAAGACAGGGCTCTCGTTTGGGGTGAAAAATGAATATTTTCTTTTAGCCTTATATAGCTTTAGACCGTCTTTTCAAGAGAATAGGGGGAGTTTCCAGGTAAGCCTTCCCAAATGGAGGAGATATATGAGAACGCTGGAATTAAAGACCGGGGAAGAGATAAAGAGAATTGTGTGTTCCTGGAAATAAAACCTGTTTCCCAACTTTTCCCTGGCAGCTTTGCAAGAACTTTACAGATTACAGATTCACAGAGTCGGAAGGGACCTTGTAGGTCATCTAGTCCAACCCTCCCCTCCCCCACCGCCCAAGCAGGAAGACCCTACACCATTTCTGTCAGGTGACAGTCCAGTCTCTTCTTGAAAGCCTCCAGGGATGAAACTCCCATAACTTCTGAGGGCGACTTCTGCATTGATGACAGAATACGGGTAATCCCAACTTAGACCGGTTCAAATCTTAGTGACCATTCAAATCTACAACGGCGCTGACAAAAGTGACGTATGACCATTTCTCACACGGAAATTCTGTTATCTAGAAGAGGATCCTATTGACAATATAGGGTTAACTCTCTCTGTCTCTCTTTTTTTTTTTTACTTAGTTCTGGAACTTTATTCCTTCCAAATCAATTCAGGGATTTCCCCTGATTTTTTGCTTTGTCTGGTTCCAGTTACTTAATCAGCAGTGACCTTTCCCCCTTTGTTCTTGCTGTTACATAAAAAAATATAACAATGCCCCTTATATAAAGGTAATGGTGCAATCTTGTTTTGGGCCATATATAGCCATGTCTCCCATCATAATACAGGTACTTCCCAGGTGCATAATGTATAAAGGCCTCCGTAGCTGCCATCATCTTCATCAACATTTAAAAAAAAAAACAACAGCAGAATTTACAAGAAATAGCAGGCAAAACTTATTTTGTGACCAAAAGAAGAAACAGTTATGCAGCGGTAGCAGTCCCTGCATTGAAGCTCCTTGAAGATCCCCAATCTGTTACTATGTTGGCAATTTCATTCCTCTTTTTTTGCAGTAAACTACAGGGTCTGGAATCTCCCAGGTTCGAGACCCACGCTTGGCACGACGGGGTGAGGTCCCCGTTCATTGCTCAAGGTCCTGCCGACTTCGCAGTTCAAAAGCATGTGAACGGGAGTGTCAACTCATAAAATATTTCTGTGATCTTTTTAGAATTGCCAACAGAAAAGGAGGAGAGGGAGCAGCTTGCAAAACCGAAACTGCATTCCATAAATGTTTTCAAAGATAGTAACTAGGTGACCGAAGTTTCTGCCTCGCAAATATCTAACTGGAGAGTATGATTGATGACTCTTGGCTACGGATGTGTCCCATTGGAGAATATGAATTACAATACATTCAGGGGATAGGGGGGAAAACCAGGGTCAAGGGTGACAGTGAATGATGTGCCTCAGAGTCGGTTACACCCAGGCAGCGCCGGTATGTTTACTCCTAATAAATCTTCTTTAAGCTTTGAAAATCCAGCTAGAGACTCATGATTTAAATGCGGGTCACTACCGCAGCCCTGACAGTGAGTAGATCAATAGGTACCACTTCGGTGGGAAGGTAACAATGTTTCGTGCGCCTTCGGCATGTAGCCATGCTAGAAATTGTCTTCAGAAAACGCTGGATCCTTCGGCTGGTGAGCCTGGTGATATTCGAACTTCCAAATTGCAGGCAGCCAGCAGAGAGCAGAAGTAGCCTGCAGTACTGCACTCTAACCACTGCACCACCGTGGCTCTTCCACCTGTTACTTCTTATCCTGCCCTCAGGTGCTTTGGAGAATGGGTTGACCCCTTCCCTCTTTTCTCCGACAGCCCTTCAATATTGGAAGACTGCTATCATATCACCCCTAGTGCTTCTCTTCACTGTCTTGACATATCTGTTAAGATGTTGGATGAAATAACTGCTGGAAATACTTTCCCAACCTTAGCAATTTTTAAGATAGGTGGACTTCAACCCCCAGAAGTCCCCAGGCAGCCACGATAGTAGCTGAAGTCCACAGATCTTATTTTATTCCTAGAATAGTCCAATTTCCCTTTTTCTTTTGTTATGGGGAAACATCTGCCCAACTGCTGGAGATTCCACAATCTCTGCTGCCACCTACTGGCTGGGATTAAAATCTCTCCCAGGAAATCTCTCCCTAGTCCAGGGTAGCATTCACACAACAGAGAACTTGGTTAGTTGCAAACCTTCAGGCTGCATTTTCCACAACCTGCCAAGGTTAGTTGGAGTCATCTTATAAGGGAGAAGAGAGAGAGAGAGAGAAGGGAGGGAGGGAGAAAAAGAGAAAGAAAGAAAGAAAGAAAGAAAGAAAGAAAGAAAGAAAGAAAGA